CACGACAACATGCAGAACAAGGACTGGTGAGAAGGCTGGGGATAGCAAGGTCAAACCACCAGGTACTTAAATACTCCATAGGGATTCTGCTTTCTGCTGGTGCTGGTACTGTCATGTTGCACTGGGAGCCTCCCACCCGTGTCTCCCAATGAAGAGGTGACCAAATGACAACCTTCCTGCCCATCTCAAGTTGCATTCTAGACAGAATCTGAAGACCTCCTATTCCGTTTTGAGAGAAATAATAAATAAATCCAGGGGACCACCTGGCATTCAATCTCTTCAACATATTCTGACAAGTTTCTTCTATCTTTGCCTAAGTTGCAGTTTAACACTTTTAGAAAACACCAAATGTTATTATAAAAAACAGAGAAGTTTGTGTCTTGGGGGGATGTTACCAACTTCCCAGTCTCTCTCATTTCCTCCTTCCATTCCATGAAGAGACACATCTTAACTTTGATTTTAAAAAGAGTAGTTACCATGGTAAGGCTTTTCCCAGGGCAAGGCGGGAGAGGGAATCACCATATGGGTGCATCAGCCCAAGAGCCCACTGCAAAGCCATGCGGAGTCTTTTTAATTTCTCACAGGCCCTGTCAGTGTGAGAAGGGCAAAGCGAGCACTTTTCTCGAACTGCCTTGAACTGCAGAGCACTGTTCTCCTGGAAAACTAGCGCACACTTTCAGCTTGTGCTCTGGGGCTACTGCACGACATTTCTTCTGTCATTCCCAGCCTGTGCTCTTCTCCACTCTGGCATCTGTAGGTAGGATTAGAGGCATCCTATAACTTCCCGATTTCTGGATGTGATAGCCCTGTTACCCAAGTGATATTGCTCTGTACCTACTACACACATAGCTTGTGGCAATGAACCATTTCTATGGCTACCTTTGGAGTATCAAAGATTTCATCTTAAGCCCAGCAGTCCATAGATATGCAAAGTATTTCGTCTGGCTTTACTCACCTGAGCACCAGATCATAGTTCCACCCAGTGTTGAATGAACACAGATCTGTTTTTCACAGTAGTTCCTATACAGCTGCACAAAGTATTATCAGAGAGTCATTTGACAGCTTTCATGAAAAAGAATGATTGGACTGAAAAATACATGGAAATCTTGTTACCACATTTGTATTTCCGAATTGTTTAAAATAAAGACAAATTATACCTAGTGTTTAAAATCATATGTGTTAAGAGACTGTATGAGACATCTCATTCATGAGCCACTCAGTACTATTATGGATACTGCATCTCCTGTTTTCTGTAACAGCAACATGAGAATTAAATGTTTACACATTATACACACAGACACAGCCATGTGACCGCATAGCACTGGGAAGATTCCCTACTGCTTCCCATGTATTCTGTTCAGGGTTGTATTTCTCAATGCTCTGCAGATATGTTCCTTTTGAATAGGAGTATCCTCCTGTCACATAAATGCATCCGTTCATAACCACTGTGCCACACTCCATCCTTCTCTCCATCATATGAGCCATCTGCTTCCACTCGTTTTGCTCTGGGTCATAGCAGTCCATGATCGTGGTCTGTCCACCCACAAAATAGATCTTGTTTTGTAATGTAACCGAGCAGAATCCGTATTCTTCAGGAAGAAAGAAATACAGTTCAACTCAGCATGACAGTGATAACTTGCACTGCAGCTACCTGACAAACACTGGGGCACCAGTGAGGGCAGCTGAGTTTCTTCACTGAGCTCAGGAGACACCTCAGGATTTTCTGCTACACTTGGTAAAAGCAAGCTCAAGGTGTTACAGACAATACAGACATGAGCACCAGTACTTAGTGAGAACTGCTTTTAAAATTTACTGTTAGCAAATGTAGAACATAGAGAAAACCCTTTTAAAATTCATATAAATTATTTTTGCCAAACGCCAATGAATAGATTTTATAGAAAGCTAGAAATACAGAAATATTATTTAATAGAATGCAGCCATTCCTCAGTTCAGTATCTATATAGTGATTTCTATAGAACAGATGCTTGAAGAGGGTCTTTCCTTCTCAGAGTCTGGAAATGGGAAATGATCCCACTCTGGCCCTTGCTGCCCTACAGGCATTGCTCCTTTTATTAAGAATGTGCCCAAAGCTCTGAAGTGGGCTTAAAGACTCCCAGATACAAGTAATCAAAGCTCTACGCGTGTTACAAAAATTACTGTTTACCTGGGTGCGGACTTGTGGTGACTACACTCCACTCATTGCTACCTGAATGGTATTTCTGGACTTTATCATAGGTGCAGCTTCCCCTGTATCCATAGTGACCTCCGGTTACGTAGATGATGTCATGCAGGACACAGGCGGTGGCATTTCCAACACCTGTACACAGTGTGAAAGTCACAGCACATCTTGAGACTGCAAACAATAGCCACTTCCATCCGTAACCTCATTTCAAATGACTCGTTAATTAATGTTTTAGGGTGAAATTATGCTGCAAGTATTTAGCTGGATGTGAAATTAAATAAGTTTGCCAAGACACCTTATTTTAGCAGCATAAGAGCAATTAAATAAAACTGCAGTAATGGAAACATACTGCATGTAATACAGCCATGCAGTATTTCACAGAATTTTTATGCAGTAATTGAAGACACATCATCACACTGGGTTTGGAATAGGGAATTGCTTTCAGTATTCCACTAAGTTACTGAGATTTTTAAAAGTCACTCCTATGGCAAAGACAAAGACAACGGGAGTTGAGATTATTCAGTGTCTTGGGATATCTTTTCTGATACTTTTAATCTTTCTTATGGTATTATTATTTATACTATTGTATAAACAAGGGTACAAACAGAATGGAGCTGTGTTAACTCTGTTTCTAGGAGAACAAAACAAAATAAAACAAGGGATCTGGCAAGATAAAATGGACCAAAATTAGGAAATCAGTGTGGGAGTTTTAAGCATCTAAGAAGTTTCACACAGAAAACGGGATAAAACAACTGCATAGACTCTAACCATTCAGTACTAGCGTAACATTTCTGGTTTTAAAGGAAATAAAACCAGAATAATAGCAATGTTTGTGGAAAACATACAAACAATGAAGAAAGTTATAGGAGCGTGTTTTTTCTTGTTATAGATACCTCCAAAAACTCACATGCGTAGAAAAATACTATGTTACATCAACTTACAGTAAAGATCTATAATTAATTGTAAATAATTGCATTAATTTATAAAAATGAATGGTAAAAGTGTATAATTGTTTTTAAGTTTTATAACAAAATAGTATCATTTAGTTAGGCTGTGATCCAAATTCATACATTTTTAATAGATCATTATTTTGGCTGCTAGAAACAGGCATTAATGTTTTTAATTATCCTCACACTAAAGATTAAACTGAGGATCCTGAACAGATGATGCACTGAAATATGAGGAAACTGCATGGAAGAAGTTTTAAATGAAGATGACACCTTTATAGATGATTGCACAGAAAATCATAGTAATCTGGTTTTATATTAAAACAATAAAATCCCTTTATTTGATCTTGCTCTTTGACCATCTACTGAATAGAGTCTAATACCCAGTAGTTTTCTGATTTGTTTCTAATTTGTGCAGAAATTTTACTTCTGAAAGAAGACAAAATTAAACTGAGACTACCACTTGCCTTTCCACTGTAGTGTTCTAGCACAGCCCAGCATAGTGTTTGGATGTTTGCAGTCATTTGCCTGGTAAAGACCTGACCCAGAGCCCACCAATATTAACAGGAGATTCCCATGGACTTCACTAGAACTTAGATCAAACCCTAAACGTGCCCATGGCAATAAAAAGTGGCAGATGCAGAAAGACATTTGAGGCAGACGCCATCCAACATCCTACCTACCTTTGATCATGTTTGCAATGGGAAGCCATTTCTTTTTTAAAGGATCATAGAACTCAGCTTCTTGCACTGGAGCTCCCTTTCGGTAACCACCCAACGCATAGATGCAGCCACTCAAGGAAACAGTGCAGTGGTAATACCTTGCATCAAGCATGGGGCAGCCTTCTGTCCACTCATCTCTTTCACTATTATATATCCACACGGTGTCAAGGGCTTCGATGCTCTCCGTTCTGTAACCTCCTGTCACATATATATCCGGTCCCAAGCTAGTGACCCCGTAACATTCTCTGGTATGATCCGGCATCTCTGTTCCCTGGACCCACGTGTTGGTTAATGGGTCCCAGACATTCACTTCTGATAAGGGATGCCAGTAATATCCTCCGATCACATACATGGCTGCTGTGGGTCTTCTGGAAAGACTTTTGGGATTGAGGTTCAGGGCATTGTATATGAGTGACCTTATCTTAGTATCATTAAGTCGGTGTTTTTTTTGTAGGCTTAAAACTGACCTCAAATACACATTATCTAAGTCTACTCTGACGCAGCTCAGCAGTTCATAGATATCTTCAAGTCTTTCTTCCACATTGTGAGCAACCCACTTAACGACAGCTTCAATGGCTGCCTCTTCTTTCCAAATATTGAGATTATCTCTGGAGAGAATATAAGAGAGCTTCTCCTTGCCAATATCCAGAAACTCTTCCTGATTCTGCACTTCTTCAAACTGCCATAACAATATCCTCCTGGACTCTTTCTCTAGCTCCGAGCAATCATGATATTCGGCAAAGAAGTGCATCCCTATGCAGTTGTCAGTATCTAAGTGCCTCACCAGAAACTGCTCACAGGCTTTCTTTACTGACAGGAACTGGAGGAGGTCTGCTGCCTGGAGTAGACTTTGGACATTTCTCTTTGTTATCTGGATCTGCGATGTATATGCATAATTCACGAGAGCTTCCAGTACCGCATGGCTGAGCCCGGGAAGTCTGATCTGGTTTTTAGATTTCTCTTTCATATCGGCTGTGAACATGGCTTTAAAATAATTGCTGCAAGCTGCTAAGGCGGCTCTGTGGCAGTGGAAGATGACCCCCGAGGCGCACTGCAGGGTGATGTCGGTGAACAGCCCGTCCAGGTAAAACGCTCGGAACGCCTCCAGGAAGTCGGCGGGGTGAGAGGAGTCCTCGTAAAGGTACGCGTAGTCCTCCTGCCCGGCCGCTGCCATCGCCCTAACCTGCGCAG